GCGGCCGGACTCCTCCCGCCGGGCGGGGCGCTCGCGCTGGGCGCCGTCGTCACGTGACGCGCAGGCCCCGCCCCCGGTCGCGGTGGGCGGGGCCTGCGCCGCGCGGCCACGCCCTGCCCTCCGGGTGCCGGCCGGGCGACGCTGAGACGCGCCCCCTGAAGGCAAACCGCGCGCGCGGGGACACCTGCCCGGCCCCCGCCTGGGCGCAGCCTGGGGGCGGCCGTGGGGTCCGGACACGGGGACGCCCACTCTACAAAACCCGGCGGCGAGGGCTCCTCCTCGCACGTGCGCTCAGGAGAAAAGGTCCAGACGCGCACGTCTTCCAAAGTCAGGCCTTCCTCCTGCGACTCCAAGACGTTTTCAGGGAAATTCCAGCCTTTCGGCTCTGACATAGGATGGAGGCGCTCCTTTGCTGGCGAGGAGTGCGCTTTCCAATGGGCCCAGGGGAGGCTCTGGAATGAGCGTCATCATGAGGTCCCCATCCGGCGCCCTGGGCCCACCCTGGGCGGCTCCGCAGGCCCTGGCCAGTGTGGCCTCGGATGCCCTTGCAGTTTCCCTCCCGGCTCCCTGGGCAGCTGCCAGCTGCCCTGGATTGTGGTGCAGAAGGAGCTCTGAATTCAGCTTCCCATGCGCACAGCCGGGGTCCTTGGCGCAGGCCTCCTGGACAGAAGGCCAGGCTGGCCCCCGCCCCGGGTCTTCTGTGAATCACCTTTTCACTGCACGGCTCGCCTCCAGGAACCCCTCGGAAGCAGCAGCCAGTGCGGCCCTCCCTCCGAGCCTTTCTGTTCTTTCTGCTTGAACTAAATTGCATTAAAGAAAAGAAAACATCGTCATGGGGGAGTTAATTCATCTCTAACATAATTTTCCAGCAACTGTTTCATATTTACAAAATGGCCCATGGAGTGGAAGGATCCTGCTGTCATTCATCAAAGTGGACAGTTTTCACCTTTTTGTTGGAGGCTGTGGGATGAGTCCAAAGAATTCAGCCTCCTGATATCTCGGGAATTACACTGCCCAGCTTCTGAAACCACCGCGCACACTTCTGCGTGCAGATAAAATGTCTGGCGGCTTATGTGACAAACAGGCAACTGAAAATGGGTCTGAGCATCAGGAGATGTAGGTTTGAGGTTTGGCTTCCGGCTCTGATTCCCGTCAGATTGGTAGTCTTGGAGATAACACTGTACTTACTGAGAAAAATGATAGCATACATGGAACTTGTGGCCACTGGAAAGAACGCTCTAACCAACTGAACTAACTACCCAGCCAGGGCAGAACCTGATGATGTGATATGTGGAGCTTTGACACTATGGATTATAAATGCTTTTTAAGTGTCAATTCCTAATTCTTTAGGTTTCTTAGGATGTGATCCATTAGTGCTCTGAGAGAACTAAGAGTTTGAATCTGAAAATTGCTTAATTTCCATCAGAATAGAGCACAGCCCAGTTATGTGTAGACAGAATATTATATTATCCCCGCAGCTCACCCCGAGCTTCCATTTCGACAAAGCCTGCAAAAAGGTTGGGAGAATAGGGCTTTCAGTGTCATGTCTGCACTTGAGTGGAGAAACTGGAAGACTTCAAAGCCTTCGCTACTCAAATGAGTTAATATCTAATGGAAAAGTTGCCTCGTCGTCTCACACGCAGGTTGCCCTCACATACAGGAACATCAAGAATCCTAGTTATCCACCAAGACAGGCACTCACTTTATAGCCAGCTTATGGGTGGTTGACTCAGATGTTGAAAGCTTTATAAGTACATGTTTAAGGAAAACAACTCGTGCAGGAGACATCACCCCGAGATAACAAGTGTTAAATAAATCCTGGTTACAGCCTGGCCTGTGTGGCTCAGTGGTTAATCATGGACTTATGAGCCAGGAGGTCACGGTTCGATTCCTGGTCAGGGCACATGCCTGGGTTGCAGGCTCAATCCCCAGTGTGGGGTGTGCAGGAGGCAGCCGACTCATGATTCTCTCCCATCATTGATGTTTCTATCTCTCTCTCCCTCTCATTTTCTCTCTGACATCAATAAAAATATATATTTTTTTTTTTAAGAAAAAGAAAACAGCCTGCTGAGGTCAGTTTCTTCCTGGTTGGCTGGGAAGAGGCTGCCCCCGCTGACCCTGCACAGACCAGCTCCCATCGCCTCGGATGCTGGTCAAATGCACAGACCGCAGTGGCCGTTAGCAGATGGGAACCTTGACTAATCCCTCACATCTGCTCGGGGGTCTGGCCTAGCCCGGGAAGGCGCACACACCAGCCGGCTCATGGCCGGCTCGCGGTCATGAAAGGAAAGCAATGTTTCCTGAAATCTAATTTCATCTGGGACAGAACACATCTCATGGAATAGGGATGATCTTGTGCAGATCAGCCCTCTCCACTCGGCCGGGTCCAAGTGTCAAGTCACATACGCATTAAATTTTCAAAAGTCCAGACGTGGCGTCCTTCCCAGCATCCTGTCTCCCTGCCCCGTCGTTCGATGCCCCCGCCCCCTCCCCGTGCAACCCACACAACTGACATCAGGCCTCTGGCCTCACCAAGGGCAGCTTCGTTCCTTTAAGATTGATTAGTAGCTCTGATGGCTTTTGCAAGAACAAAAGCGGTCAAATTCTTATTAGTGGTAAACTTGGAAAAAATGATTTGGCCACGATGTCAAGCTGTTTGCCTTCAGAAGGGAAGCAGTATACCCACTCGAAGCAGCATCCATCTTAAGAGTTACTCCATACAAGGGTCTTCTGTAGTCATCAGAAGCTGGGTTGTTTTTACCGAGTTCTTCATCTTTATAGTATGTCCCTGGCCTGCTAGAAACAAACACAAACATCTTTCCCTTTGTGCCACTGAGAAACATCCCCTTCCGAAGTCGTCAGGAAAATCCCTCACGGGACAGAGCGCCCTCTCGGACGGACAATTAAAAAGAAAAGGGGTGAAAGTGATCAACAGGAGGCCACAGAACAGCTGTCTGTGGTCACGGCCTCCGAGCAGAGTGCTCCCAGCCAGCCAGCGGCCGAGTGACAGCGCAGCACCCATCACGGAGCTGTGTGACCCAGAGGCCCACTGTGCCCAATAAGCGTGGCTGCGACTCGCTGGGGTGTGGAGAGCCAGCCATGCGGTCGGGTCAGCTGTTACCTTTGTAAGAGGCCGCGTAGCCCCCAGTAAGGCCATGAGGCCCCAGCCCTGACGCATCTCAGCCCGCACACCTCTGGTAACTGGATGATGCAGGCACTGCCCTGCCTTGACTGTGTGACCTTGGGCAAGTGGCCTCACCTCTGTGCCCTGTTGTCAGCAAAAGGGGGAGGGGGCGCCTGGACCTCCACCCTCCTCGAGTAGAAAGGCAGCGTCCCAGTGCCCCGCTCCCCGGAGCTGTCAGCCATCGGAGAAGGCGGGCTTGCATGGCAGCCCCGCAGGAAAGCAGGAACGGGCCCTCTCCCCCATGGCTGCTGCAGGAGGCGGTCCAGTGAGGACTCTGACCCCGAGCAGAGACGAGGCCACCTGCCCTGTGGTCTCAGTGGAGGCCATGTGGGGAGCAGTAATGAAGCCCCCCAGGCCCTCCCAGCCAGGAGGCGGGGGTGGGGTGGGGGGAGGCTGAACTTCGCTCTCTTCTCAGCAATACGGAGGGGCCCTTCCCCCAAACCAGATGTCCACAGGGGCCCCGGGGAGAACCCAGACTTCCACCCCACCTGGGACGAGGGCAGTCCTTCCCTGGGGCTCCCCGTGGAGCCGGCCTTCTCCTGTCCCTTCCCAGGGGGCTGACCTGGTCTCTGAAGGTCCCTGTCTCTTGCTCCCCCCCACCCCCCAACCCCCCAACCCCACTCCCTACACTGCCCCAGAGGACCCTAAGTGGGTGGAGCTGCCTGTGAAGGGGCACAGGGAGCTACAGAAGTGCTAACCTCAGGAAAAAGACCCCACAAAAT